CCCCCTTTGCGGGATCAGCTCGGGGCGCCGGACCCCGCTCTAGATGGGATAAGCTGTAAACATGTTTAGCTTTGAAGGGGATTTCAAAACAAGGCCCAAGGTGTCTCTCGGAGGAGCGAGTAGGAAGGTAAGAAACGCGCCGTCTTGTCTCCGCGTTTGTGTCTGTGTCTGTTTCCCTCGCTGTTGGGCCTTCAAAAATGGGAGCAGCTATGACTAAGGGTTAATAGAGGGGAAAAAATCCTCCCCTCCTGATGATGTGTTTATCTCTGATCTCCTTGGCTCTGTGTTGTTTGGGTTTTTTTTTTGTTTGTTTTTTTTTTTTTACAGTGATATGCCTGCCTCTCCCCTCATTTACAGCGCCATCAGCATGGAATAGCTCTGTTAAAATCAGCCAGGTCATCATCTTGGGGGGACAAAAAGGCCATCAAAAAACCAGGCCACACACACCCTCCCAGCCTTGTAGCCTAGTGAGAATTGTGGGAAGCGAGGAAATGTCTCCTTAGCTCGTCCCCCCTGCGAGCAATCCCGTTTGTTGTGGCTGGTAGCACCTCCTGAGCTGTTCGCCTCTAGGGCTCCTGGGGTGAAGGAGGGCAGGACTCGGAGACCTCTTGTCATTTCTGTCCGAAGGGAAAGCCTTGCGTGGGCCCCCCTCGCTGAAGGGATGGGGGGAAACAGCCTTACACGAGATCGATGCAAATTGCGGGGGAGGCTTCGTCCACGTGAGCGAGGATTGCCGGGTCACAGGTTTAGCTTTTCTCTGTCAAGTTTACGTTCAGTCAATTTGTTGTGTGCAGGGTGAGTAGCAGTTAATTGTCTGCTGTACCAGACTATCGAATCTCCTTGTTTTTATTGATGGAAAAGAAGCGAAACGGTTTATTTCGATCTTGCTGATTGGACAGGGTAGTCAGATGTTTAGTCAAGCACTGAAGGGCGTAGAACTACCGAAGAACAAGAGAAAGGACAAAGTGTTTTTAGAAGTGGCCTGATTTGTAAGGGTCACTTTAATTCACTACTAAAGTACTGATTTCTCATACTATCATTGGACATGATTGTGTGGGAAGCTATTGAATGTTTTCATTAGTATTTTTGAATCTTAATGGGGGCAAAAATAAGTCTTAAGTTTTGTTATTATGCACTGTAAGCAAGTTTGGTTCTCTGAAACTTTTAAGGCTTGGCAGTACGGTTAGGAAACTGAGCTAAAATACTGCACTATGTGATATTAAAATCACAGTGCATTTTGGTGTATTCCCTTACGTAATTTATTAAAGAGAATGTGTAACAGAACTGCATTTAAATTGTGCAGCTTTTCATCTGAATCATCTTCTGTTTATCTTTAGACATTTCTGTTCATTAGCCTACATACAATGACTACATTACACGTGTGAAAAATACAATAAATATTCCCCAGTTGAAGTGGGAATTGACAGAACATGCCCTGGTCCTAAGCTGTGCACTTTAGCTACTTTGCAACTTTTGGCACTGACTTGCTAATAGTGTTACTTGCAGAACATGTTTCCTTCTACAGAAGTAAACAACTGTCATAGTATCTTCTTTTATACATACTGATTTCTTAATGAAAGTTCAGCAGAATTCTATCTGTTTTAACTATATGGGACAAATTTATTAATGTTACACAGGTATAAATTTCCATGGGCAAATACTAAAAGGTAAAGGAAGTGGAAACTGAAATTGATGCATAACTTTCACTCTGTCCAAGATTGTATTTCGTGATCACATTGATACTGACTGGTCCACAGACTTCATGATTTTACATTGCTACACTGAAGTACTTGTGCTGCATCAATGCAAATCAGCTAGTTGCAACTTTGGGCATCATGGTTATATGGACCTCGTAGAGTGCCCTTGAAATAGCTGCTTATTTTCAGAAACTACGGGCAGTACTAATGAAATAATTTATTTAAAGAGTACTAAGAATTACTTTTAAAAATGCAGTTTACCTGAACTTTTATGTAAACATACTGCAGCAGAGATTGGCATGGCAAGTATTTACATGGGTTCCATGAGCTTCTCATTATCTCACATCACAGGCTCCTTGTGATCATGTTTCTCATACCTATAGGCTTCAGTTTTACAGAAGGCTGAATTGTGAAATGTTTCCTTTCAGCTTTTTGTGCACATGGAAAAAAAAAAAATTTTCTTTGGCAAACCCCCTTGCCCTCCCAAATGTGTATAATTTTAGAAAGATACAGAGTATAGTTCCAACCCTGCACCTCTGTGATGCTCTGTTAGTGAGCTGGATACTTAGTACTGTGTATTTTTATTCCTTTGGTGGAATAAAGCACAACTCAGAAATACTGGTAGAATCTGTATGCAGGCTGCTTAATGCTAAGAATAACTCTTTATCCAGTTTGGGGAAGTTTCCCAAATATTGTTGCACCTGTATAACTACATTAGGAAAACCCTCCCAGTATGAAAGCAGGGACTCCAGTTTGAGGAGATAGTCACTGCTGATGATGCGAGCAGAGTCTTCCTGATGTGGATACAACTACACCAAAATAAGCCATCAGCAAACCTGAGTATTAAAATAGTTGTTTTACTAATACAACTGCAGCTGCAAACCGTAACCATGTTGGTCATGGGTCACATGTGTTGATACCCTGTCTGACGTTGCCGTGTATGTCTGTAGCGTTTCCTTAGGCCTTACGAGGGGTCTGGTGAATGTAGGCACAATGATAGAAATATAGTTGGGGACTTGTGGCATTATCGCAGTTAGAAAGGTACTGAATGTAGTGTGCTTTCTCACCACTAATTTTTATGGCATTTTTGAATTATAAAAGCAGAGAGCTTCAGATTTGTTTTTACACTGTTTGCATCTTATGTTCATGTGCGTTATGATGGTCTGAATTGTGGATGCTGTAGAGAGGCACTTCAATCCAACCAAACCTTTTGCCAAAAAAGTAGTCTTTAAGTATCACTTATTTTTGTTAAAATCCTGGGTTGCAAAATTAATATTCTCGAAATGACTATCCCTGTGACTGATCCTTTCACAATATTATTGTAACTTTTTAATATTGCATTGTACATAAGTGTAAAAATATAGGTGGTATTGTCAGTGTTTGGACTTTTCCCTCCATATCTAATTTAAAAAATCTGCTGATTCATTTGGACTATTTGCATTAGTTGCATATGTGTTTCAGGGTATAGATACTGTGTTTTATTTGCAGTGTGGTAAGTTAATTTTTGTGTGGGGTTTTTTTTTTTAATTTTTTTGGGGTTGCTTATTGTTTTCTTCAAAAGATATTTTCAGATTTAGTTTTAATTGTAACTGGCAAAGCATATTTTTTTACTTCTGAAGTAAAATAGCCTCCAAAAATGAATACTATTGCTAGAGTTCAATACAGGAAGGTCTTGAATTACTCATGGACTTTTTGTACAGGACAGTAATTGTTGCCTAAAAGGCTGTGGCTGCAGAATTTCTGTGGTGTGTCAGGCAGGAAAAAGAGGTGCGTGTGAAGAGTTGGTTTGGGGTGCAGTTCAAATTGAACTCACTCAACTTAACTGCTGTGGACTGAAACAGATGGTCCTTCACCTGGGTGGTTCCCACCCCATCTGTTGTGTCCCGTATAGTGAATGCATTTCTTCAAGGTGGAGTATCACCATGCCTTTTGGTGGCAGCTGGCAGGTTTCACTAATTTTATCAGGTAGTTGGACTCTCGGTGGCATAAGTGCAGAATCTGTTTAGCCACGTCAGCTTGATTTGGTACAGTCAGGCCTTTACTGATTTTATCAGCGTTAAGAAAAATATGAGGTACTAGTCCTTTAGTACATCCATGCAGGGGGATCCCCATGCCTGTGCTGAGATGTATAAGGTGCTCTGTAGCTCCACATTATTTGTTTAGGTTGTGAAATGTTTTAATGACATCTTGTAAGCCTTTAACAGGAAAAATGGTTAAAAGAATATTATTAAGTCAAATTTACAGTATCACTTGAGATATCTAAAACATGCTTTTCTAAATCCCAAGACTGTTTTAAAATAGAGTATTTTTAAATTATAATACAGTATGAGACGGTTTTAAAAAACCATCTTCCTTTTCAGGAATTTGCAATACAGGTGAGTTAGCACTGTCATGAAAGTGAAAGTGAAACCAACTTCACTGAGTTTCTTTTTGGTTTTGTTTTTGTGGAAGACATGGAAAATTACTAATGAACAAATAGTGATGACTCTATTTTAGAAAGTCTCTTTAATTTCTTCTAGTATGGACATTTTTAATAATCAAAGATCGTCAGTTCACAAAGTCTGTTTATATTTTATTTTAGTAGTTACTGATACACTTTCTTAAATTAATAGCGTAACCATTAAGCATTAGATTCCTGTATATTTTGCCCCCTGCTCTCAGCTGAAGTGTAGAGGTAGAAGTCCAGAAGCACCTTGTTTGCTCTTTGTTGTCTGTGTTCTACGCATGAAGTAACTTCTCGTGGAATAAAAATTAATGATTCAAAACAGTAGGCTGTAAGATTGCCAGTGTATGGAGAGATCTGCACAGGCTGGGATTGCTTATGGTTATAGACGTCTGTAGGATTTAAGCAATGATGGGACAGATTTAAAAAATAGTTTTGTTTCTCTCTTACTGATTGATTGAGGAAAGTTATTATTCATTTCAGGAGGGAAGAATTACTGTTTCATGGTATCTTATTTGAACCTACACCAGGTCACAATGGAAATGAAATGATGTTAGGGATTTATAGTACAGGATTTCTAGATTACAATTATAAATTTACAATTTATTTTTTAATGGTGGGAAAGAATTGCACTACTTTGCTCCATAAGACCTTTGTCCCATAAGGCACATGGCATAGATCCTTATGCGAGTACATACCTCATTCTGAGTCAGAACTGTGTTTTGTCCAGACCATTGAAGTGTCAAAGCCTAAGTCTTCAAATACTATTTCAATTTCAGATCTGGTGTGGAAATATGATGAGACCATTATGTTGTAAAATAACGACTGTCTGTCAGTAGGAAACCACAGAACTCATGCATACTAGATTCTAGTGGATTTTTTCCCTCTTGGTAACATTTAAAATTCTCCTCATTTGAAAGGAAGCTACGAATGATGGAGTTGTAGTTAGCTGATAGCAGTGATTACACTGTTATTTTCAGTTATGTG